GGGAAAAAAAAAAAAAAAATGGATCGAGACGTCCATTATCGCCACAGTAATTCGTATAGGGCCAAAAGAAAACGAAAAATAGGCAAAGTAAACAATGCAAACTTGAAGTTTCTCACCCAACTCTGCGTTGCTGCCCAGTTCAAGCGTTTAGAGCCACAAAGTGGACTGGGACGGAGCCGATGAAAAAAAAAAAAAATTCGCACCGAGTGGAGTGCAATGGCAGGACAAAACCAGGGAAACGGATGGGTGTTTGAAGCGCGGAGGTAGAGAGTACATCATAAAGTATGGCTGAAGACATGTTGTCGCAAGTACATCTACATCATCCCACCAACCCACTTTGCAAAATCTGCGTACATGGGTAAGGGTTAGAGCCAATCAGGAGCCCTAACCAAAAGAGGGCTTGACCCCACCTGCTGACTCGTCTCGCTCGCTTGCCCCTCCATATAAGGATTTCCCCTCCTCCCTTCTCCCACAGACTTTTCTTTCTTCCTCTTGTCTGCTACAGTGAGTTTTTCCTGCCCCCCTACTGCTTTTCAGCTCTTCCTCTTTCGACAACTCTTACTGATTACTTTTGCTCAGTACCTCTACGCGTTCTGCCGTAGTCTCTGAGCAAATTTTTCTACAGATTTTTTCTAGTATCTTACAAAGAACTACAAAAAGTTCCAACCGTCATCATGGGGTACGTGACACAGCCAATTCCTCACTTCTCAGGAGGACCGAGACTGACTTTGACCCAACAGTAAAGAAGAGCGTAGCCACATCAACATCGTCGTTATCGGCCACGTCGATTCCGGCAAGTCCACCACCACTGGTCACATGATCTACAAGTGTGGTGGTATTGACCAGCGTACCATCGAGAAGTTCGAGAAGGAGGCTGCTGAGCTCGGAAAGGGTTCCTTCAAGTACGCTTGGGTTCTTGACAAACTCAAGGCCGAGCGTGAGCGTGGTATCACCATCGATATCGCTCTCTGGAAGTTCCAGACCGCCAAGTATGAGGTCACCGTCATCGGTAAGAGTCTTGTCTGTTCATCCTCTCAGTTGCACAGATGTTAATATATTCCATTACAGATGCCCCCGGTCACCGTGATTTCATCAAGAACATGATCACTGGTACCTCCCAGGCCGATTGCGCTATTCTCATCATCGCCTCCGGCACTGGTGAGTTCGAGGCTGGTATCTCCAAGGATGGCCAGACCCGTGAGCACGCTCTGCTTGCCTTCACCCTCGGTGTCAAGCAGCTCATTGTTGCCCTCAACAAGATGGACACCTGCAAGTGGTCCGAGGATCGTTACAACGAGATTGTCAAGGAGACCTCCAACTTCATCAAGAAGGTCGGCTACAACCCCAAGTCCGTTCCCTTCGTCCCCATCTCCGGCTTCAACGGCGACAACATGCTTGAGCCCTCCACCAACTGCCCCTGGTACAAGGGTTGGGAGAAGGAGACCAAGGCTGGCAAGTCCACCGGAAAGACCCTCCTCGAGGCCATTGACGCCATCGAGCCCCCCGTCCGTCCCTCCAACAAGCCCCTGCGTCTTCCCCTCCAGGATGTCTACAAGATCTCCGGTATTGGCACAGTTCCCGTCGGTCGTGTCGAGACTGGTATCATCTCCCCCGGCATGATCGTCACCTTCGCCCCCGCCAACGTCACCACTGAAGTCAAGTCCGTCGAGATGCACCACCAGCAGCTCAAGGCCGGTAACCCCGGTGACAACGTCGGCTTCAACGTCAAGAACGTCTCCGTCAAGGAGGTTCGCCGTGGTAACGTCGCTTCCGACTCCAAGAACGACCCCGCCGCTGGCTGTGACTCTTTCAACGCCCAGGTCATTGTCCTGAACCACCCCGGTCAGGTCGGCGCTGGATACGCTCCCGTTCTCGATTGCCACACTGCCCACATTGCCTGCAAGTTCGCTGAGCTCCTCGAGAAGATCGATCGCCGTACCGGTAAGGCCACTGAGGCCTCCCCCAAGTTCATCAAGTCCGGTGACGCCGCTATCGTCAAGATGGTTCCCTCCAAGCCCATGTGTGTTGAGGCCTTCACCGACTACCCCCCTCTCGGTCGTTTCGCCGTCCGTGACATGCGCCAGACCGTTGCCGTCGGTGTCATCAAGTCCGTTGCTAAGAACGCTGGTGGCGCTGGTAAGGTCACTAAGGCCGCTGCCAAGGCTGGTAAGAAATAAATGATTCTCGGATGATGTTCATTATGCCGTGATGATTTTTTTTCTTTTCAAAAACAATTACTGGATTCAGGTAGATTTGCTGCGTAGCTCGAAATGACTACCCACATTTTTATGACAAGTCTTCTTTCGTAAACTTGTAAACAAGAAGTAACAACGTAGTTGATCAATCCTTTGACGGCCCCATCCTCGGTGACTTTCGATCTCCGGTTTCGTGTGGTGTTTCAAGGCTAGCGGCGCCTGAGTCGTGTGATAAACATGTATAAAATGACCTCCAGGTCTCAAGATCAAACGATATTTGTTTCAAGTTCTCTCTTTCTTTTTACTGTAGCCATACATTTACTATCCAACTCATCTTCTTATTCCCATCTTGTAACCCTATTAAAGGAGATGCTGCCCCTAATCCTGAAATCGGCTTCATATCGAGCAATATCAAGTAACGACTAGCGCCATGGTCAATTTCTGCAGGCCAGTTCCCACTGATTCGATGTAGAGGATAATTCTAGCTTGCAAGGTTTCTCTACCGGATCGACCCCGATCAATCACCACGGTGCATCTGATTGGCCAGAGACATATATATCAATTTCCGTCTCAACCTCAAGCCTTAAGTCCGTCGCAAAATCGAGTCTAATCCCGATATACGAAGTTGGGCCCGAGCTATCATTGAGCTGCTATGGTTATAATGACAGGGGAAGTGGTTGTGGCCATTGTAATGGTCTCTACAATTCGTTGTAGTCCATAGTCTCAAGCTATACATATAGAGCAAAGATTGAAAGGCAAATATTGGTCAAAAATAAGTAAATAAACTGGGTATCAAGTTGCAGATACATACATGTAGTATGTATCCCTATGTATGTTATCATGGCGTACCAATGAAAGATGTATCAATCACTCTTCCTCATATTCTTCGGAAACAGAACCTTCTTCCTCTTCTTGCTCCTGGGTAGGACCACGCCTCGAAGACCGTCTAGGGCCAGAGCTCCGATCGACTCCAGCATCCCCATCCACATCGCTAGCACCATCCACCCCACTAGCTCGTATGCTTGCCGGTTCGATCCCAAGGCTCCTCCCAAGCTTCCCCTCAAAGTCCTCAAGCTCTTCTCTCTGTAGTTGAGTCAAGCCCGCATGGTCACCCTTCTCCTTCCCGTAAACAGTTCGCACAAGACCCGCCACACCACTAGTCCCAACCTCAATTTTACCCCGCGGTCCAAGGACGTACTCAATCACCTCCTCGCCGCCATCCATCTCCCGGGTCTTGATAATGTATCCCTCCTTGCATAGCCGCTGTAGCAGTTTATCCGTGCGATCGACCGGCGTAGCAATCTCAGCGTTTGTGCGCGATAGGTACCGGTCAAGTTTCTGTTCAGCTAGTGAACCGCCGTTCAGTACGATCACCGCTATAATGAAACTGTATAGGCCCGTGTATGTGCTTTCAGTGTATAGGGAGGGTGCCTTAGTTGGAATCAGGATGTCCGGAGAACGGTATGCGAGCGGCAAGGTGGTGGTAACGATCCATGACTTATTAGCCGAGGAAAAAGTGGTCTTCTGGGCGGCTGTTGTACGGGATGTCAGTAGTGATCTTAGAAATAGCGTGGGTCTGCAACAAAGAAAAGCAAGACGGAATCCCAACTCACCCCGTCGCTGTGTAATTGTCACTTTCTCTCGGGCCGGCAGTTCGGTCATCTCCATACCAAAGCGCTGCCTCAGTTCCCACTGGGCCTGGTCAAAAACTAATTTGAACTGGCGCGAGCCCTGCTCGCCTAGCACCTTCGTGCTGATGTCATTGCGCCTGATCGGCAGCCGCGAATATTCACTTGCTATAGCGAGCCGCACCATTTTCTTGACCATTGCGTCGGTGCTGGTTGGTGCGCTTGGTCCGTCATCGTCGCTGTTTGGTGCGGGTGACGAGTCGGATTCTTCGCTTTGTCTTCTGCGCCGGCGAGCGCTTGGGGTTGACTCAGTCTCGACTGCTGCGTTGGCCTAAGGATTAGGTTAGTTGGTGGATAAGCCGAGTGGATTCGGAGTTTGCATACCCGTCTTTTGCGATTTGATGACATTTGATTATGTAGATATGGTGGTGAGTTGTAGGTGGGTTTAGGAAGACGCGACACGATAGAATGATTTTACCCTATCGGGGCTGGTCTGTGCGTGGCGCGTTCTTTTGTTGAAGCAAATGGATTTTGAAGGCAGTTTTCTTTGGGATTTCTTTCGAGGACTGTATTTGATGATCTATTAAAGAAAGAACGTGCTTTGCAATGTCTACATGCATAGAGAGTTATGTGTTTATTAAATCTAATAAATTAGCCCTGGAGCGTCGAGGTACAACATAATCGATAGACCTAGGAAAAGCGAACTAAATACAACGTGGGTAAAGCAATGCATATAGAGCAGCGATGAGGTATTATTTTCTCTAAAAGAAAAACGGAATAAAAAAAGAACGCTCCAAAAGGTGAAAGAGATCTAAATCAGTGGCTGTTCTTCTCATTGACAACCTCCTTCGCTTCCTCCTTCTTATTCTGGAGGAAAGTGTTGACCCAAGCTAGCGACTCCTGCGACAGAACCAAACTGGTAGTGACAATAGCCTTGCCTGAAGCAAAGACACCATCACCGCCGCACTTTTTGTACTCAGAACCATAGATATCGGTGACATGGTGCTTGACATCGCCGACGACGCGGACGGGCAGAGAGGCACTGTTGTAGATGGAGCCGCGCAGCTTCTGGGTGTCCTCTTTGAAGATAGGGAAGCGGGCATCGATTTGACTTAGACCCTTATCACCGAGGGAGTCGGCGCGGGCTATGTAAGGAGCGACATAGCGGTAGGGAGTGGAGAAGTAGGGTAGCACAGGTTTGGCGAGACGAGTGTAGCCCTGGTCGGCGTATTCGAGGGACTTGGCTCCGTAAGGGTTGCCCTTGTAGTAGGAGATGGAGTCAGAGACGATGGGATAGGAAGTCAGATGCTATATTTGGGAATGTTTAGTATAGGCTGCGTTTTGGTGTTGGGCTGTAGTGGGGGTATACATACGTCAAGGAACTGAGAGTAGTGCTTCTCGCCGTTGACGACCGGTTCACCCATTTTGGCTTCTGCGTGAGGCATAAAGATAGTAAGCTGAGTAGGATGTAATAAGTAACCTTAGAAGGATTTAGAAGAAAAAAAAAGAGAAGGAGGGAGGAATGAATTGGGCTGTATAGAAAAAAAGGGTTTTCACATGTGATTGCGCTGTCATTATGCAATGGGTCCTACCGCAATCGCATCATCATTTGTGCAATACATCGTATTCTTGGCTGGTTTATGTATTTTGTTTGGCTATTTTAGTGTTCTCTGCTTTGCATTTTCTTCCCTTCTTTTTCCTTCTATCTTTTCTTTTGGGATTAATGGCCTTAGGTCCAAAGGATGCCCCCACGCCAATGCGCCATTGACTTTTGGCACTCTACACTGCAAACTGTCAGAGCCATTGAATCCCTTTGCCAATCATAGCTACTAGTAGTATACTACTAGTATCAAATATACTTGTTTCGATTGCAAAAATCTTGAAAAATACGATAAATGAACTTTTGAATTTTTTTGATAAGCTGCTTTCGCATGTGATTGCGGGTCCGCTGCAAAAGCGCCGTGTGGTTCCACTTGGATGATCTCTATCAACATTGAATGATCTATCTCTCAGCTTATACGTGCTGTCATTTCTTGTCATATTCAAAGGTCCTTCCAAGGTTCGATATCCCCCAGAATATATTCGAAGTGAGGGGTGAGTTTGTAAGATAAACCTTGTTTTCATCCGTTCCACCGTTATTCGTTGGACAAAACGGCTTATCTGCACCCTATTATAAAACCGCCTAGACTAGGCGGAAAGGGCTGATCGGGGCCAGCTTGCCAGAATATGACTGACGCTTTGGCTTCTACTTCGTAGGTTATGTGAGTCTAGCCCATCTGCACGTACATTAGTGCTAGTCATGTACTTACCCACTTATTGGCCTGAGCGTCGGCCCCTCGAACCACCTATTGTAATCTCGGGAATACGTAATAGCTTCCGGTCTAAATGTAGGGGCAAAATTGCGCAAAGTCGTAGCTGGATTAGAGAGACGGTTCTCCCGGCCCCCGGGTATACGACGGGCGCAGTGATTCGTCGCAGACTCATCCGAATCTCGGCGTTTGATTTGACTTTAAGGAAAGGGTGCTTTCGAGAGGAATATAGTACTATGGCTATACTAGTTTATGTGACGGATAGAACGCAACTTGGTACTTCGTACATATCCAGACCTTCCAAGGTTGTGTTCCTATTGCGGCTAAAGGAATGCGGGAATGATATGTACTCGGTACGACTCGTAGGCTAAGCCGGAAAAAAGCTGGCTATGTAGGTTTCCTAACCTTGTAGTCGGCACATGAAAAGAACCGAAGATGTCGACGGGACTAGATATGTCATGAGCATTGAGATTCGAAGCCGGAGGTGCTAGGTTCTTTTTTGCGCCCCCTACCTTCTGTCCTTTTCCCCCTTTTATCTCAGGTGAATGTGATTGCAGCGATCGACTGGGAGCCCGCTCAATTAAGCTACTATGCAGATCCCTGTATATCGTGGGTCTTGACCGGCAACGGTTGTCTCAACATCTACAAAGTACAGCATACAATCTCTGCCTCTTCTGTCCCTGTAAAATTTCCAGAATACCTACCCAAAAAATATAATGTATTTGACCTATCACTGCCTTTGAAGCCGTTGGGATATTCTGTAGTGGAAAATATCATTCTCAATCAGATTGTGGCAAGCACACCACTAGCTTTGTACTTTTTCACGAGTCCTTGCGAGATATTATATGTCCGGGCGGTTGGAATGAAAGTGGCGTTCGGGCTAACTATAGCCTTATGTGCATCTAGCGTCGGAGAGGCCCATGATCTGCTGTTGAGCGCGAAGGTACCTATTTCACATGCGAAACTGAGGTGTCATTTAGCGTTGGCGCTCTCTCGATATCAAAAGATTCAATTGTGTTGCCTTAAGAGATCAATTGACCCAGCTGACCGTCACGTGAAATCAGGCGAATATGGGTTATTTTTTTCTGTTTATCTGTGGCCAACTGTGCTAGAAACTATTATTCTCGAAGCGCTTTGCCCTTAGCTTGGCAGTTACCCACATCGGCCCTAAAGGAGTACAATGTCAACACATGTGCCAAGGGAATCAGCTGTTGCATATCGCGCATTAGTGTATTTTATTCTTGCGTTGTCTAGATGCATCACCTGGAACTCCGAGTTTCACATATTCTTGATACTATCATATGATTTATGTTAAAGCCAATCGGCCGTTGCACAGCTATGCACTCCGTACATAATAGTTGTGAAGATTCATTATTCGCGGATGCAGGCTTTCATTCTATATTCCTGCCTTCAACATGATACTGCTAAGATGGCGATATTAGTCTTCATCTTGGTATCTTTTCATGGATTTTATCTAACACCTGTAGTATTCCATACATAGGTAGTATTTTCCATGGCTTATTGTTGGTAAACCTCTACTTCTTGCATGGATACGTCGCATTTTTGAGAAAGATTAGCGCAGCAGACTGTGTAGAGTGGATCTATGCTACAAGTTTAGCAAAAAAGGAAAAGGAAAAAAACATAGCCATATACATACTAGGCCAGAAAAACAAGAGCAGATCAAAACCTACCGGGTGCTCGTAAGATAATTTCTCCCATATACGGTAGGTATTATCCGCCTCTTTAGGAACCGAAAGGATCTCGCAAGTATCAAGGCATCGTAGCGGACTTGTCAAGCTGCCCTCACATTTGGGGACCTGCCCCACTATAGAAACAGAGAATCTCGCATGCGTTGCGGCAGGTCCATAATAGCTGAGGTAGAGCTTGACCGGCCGCGGCTAGCTGGAGGGATACTATGTCGCTGCGGTCCTTCAGCGAGGCACGTGAAATCCAATGGAGCGGAATCATTGCATGCGCGGTCCCAGCGAAGATAGGAAAAATCATCACTGACAACACCAGGGCAATCGTTTGATAGAGACATATTCCAAGGATCGACAGGATCCTCCCCGGCAGGAGTGTGGGAGCGAACTTTGAGAATAACCTCAAAAGGGCCAACGATGAGCGAGTCTTGCTGGAGAATCGACTTCCAAAGATGCCAGAAGCTCGTGTCAATCATGTGTCGGCCTGTACTCGCACGGAGCCGCCAATAACACGGGAATTTGTTAGTCTTGATTCTCACCTCTGCAACCTGCAAGGGCGGGACCGGAACCTTGTGAAGGAATCTCTCGGGCAGATCGGCTACGCTCTCGAACTCGCTCTGGATCTGCACCCATTTTTCCTGGTAATGTTCTTCGAAGAACTCCGTCCACTGTGGGTTCACGCCGCTGTCAGCTAACCCCGCGGACATCTCCCAGATAAAATATTCGGCGTTAACCCACTTGTCGATACTGACCGATGTTTTTAGAAGTGAAGCAGTGTCGCGGCACACGTTGCAATGCATCAGAACACGAGGTTTGGCTCGCACTGCTACCATGGGCATGTTGTAGTGTCGATGGACCTCGTTGTCCAACCATTCCTCCCTGGCGTCCTCGCGGATAGTTCTTAGAGGAATGGCCATGGTTGCGGATAAAGATGGCTGTACTGACTTGCGAGTTTTGTACGTACCGAGTTGTGAGTTTGGATAGTTGATTGAAATAATAGCTCAGTCGCGGCCAAATGATACGGACTGAAGCTGATGGAGGCTTACCAAAAAGGTGGTTTATATACTATGTGTAGATCGCGTCAATCATGAATGAAAGGTCATGATCTGAGGCCATGGAGACTAAGAAGACAATGAAGATAAAGAATGCTTTTCTCTTACCTCGAAGATCACATCGAAAATATCGTTCAAAGACCATTGTTCCCTTGTTTACTAGTCAGCGAGAGAGGACCATGATGTGTCAGTTGTCCAGCGGAACCTTGGAATCAAAGCAGCTCTTTGTTTGGATTGTATGCCTTGTGGATGAGAACACTCAATGGCTGTCGAAGCTGCCATGTCAGTGAGACATCAGCACGAGCGCGGATGCTACATATGCTGGAAATAAGTTCAAGATCTAATTCTGCCAGTGCTAACTACTTCGCAAGCGCTGATGCCGTGTGGCTGGGGTGTGTTATATCTTGGCGGGGGAGGGGTCAGATGTGGAATGTATATGGACTGTGGAAAGATACAATCTATATTTAATCCATCCTTTGAGCATGATGTGAGGACCTAGACCTTTGGGTCTTCCTCGAGATTGGGAAACCTAGAGTCTTCTTTTGGAATGATGTGTTTGGGATTAGACCAGTTAGGAGAGAGGACGCCTAGGGCGGCTAACCAGGATGGAAGCAACTGCTTTTTGACAACTACGATTGCGCGTTACATCTGGGCATGTTTACATCGATTGTAGCAATGACACCATGGAATTGAATGACCTGGGACAAACCACATAGCTACAGGGTCATCCACGGTATGGGAATGATCTGGGGTTGAGATGAGCAGACCAAGATTGCTTCCGGCGCATTGGAAAGATGAAGACGTCGACCAGTTCTCGGGTAATAGACAAAATTGATTTTGAAATAATTGTTCATTTTCCATTTCATTCAGACGGACACCAGGTATTGAAGTGGCGCCCCCGTTAAAACTGGAGTTCATCGATACATTCACGAATCTGTTTCCAGCCATGGTGTATGTTTTCCCATCCCATGCTCGCAGGGACCGAATGTGCTCGATGGTTTTTCGACCTCGCCCTCACCTAGACCCGTGCGCTCAAAACGACAAAACGCCCAAGTAAACCGTTTAGAAACCTGTTCCGGAGTATTAGTTTCGAGTCTCGAAGTGCATGTATATATGTATATCCTGGGCCAAACGTACGCAGGGCAGTGAAGAACCAACGGTTCTTTCCGCTGGTGTAACGGTCCTCAAGGGCCTTCTTGATGGTCTTCTTGGCTTCCTCGCGCTGGGAGACCTCCTTGAAGGTGTCGTTGGTGACGGTACCCTTAAGACCCTCAAGTTCGAGAGTGTAACGGGTGGGCATCAAGTGGTTGTAGTTGACGACCTTGATGAAAGGCTTGATGCGGCTGCGGCGGTCGATGAGCTTGTTGCTCATACGACGGGTCACCTTGAGGGGGTAACGCTCGATACCGGCGACAATGGCGTAGGAGAAGGGGTGCGACTTGGAGCCAGCATCAACGGGCTGGATAATGACGACCTGTAAATTCGACCAAAGATGCCTGATTAGCACTCCGAATTTTTTTTCTTTGTCGCGCAGTTCCTCCATATTGCATTGCGCTCTTTCAAATCTCGAGTCTTTCGCTTGCAGGTCGTTCGTCTCTTTCCATTCTCGTGCTCAATATCGGGGAGGATCAGGATTTTGTCGTACCTTCTTACCGGCGTAGCGGCCACGGGTGATGATGGCCACACGGCCCACTTTCATGACTGTAACATATCCGTCAGCATATAGATCGCAGGGGAGTCGAATGGTGAAGACGTACACTTCATTTTGAAGGTCCCGGGGGCGGCGAGGATGGGTGGTTGTCGAGATACGGAACGGTCAAGATCGAAGTCTTCCTTTTTGCGGATGTGAGGTAGAGGGTTTCAGGGCACAGTAGCGATTTGTGTGCTGCGGATTGATTGGTCGACTTACCGACAGATGGCGACTAGCCTGTTTGGGGATAGTTTCCCCGTTGGGCCGGATCAAGTGATGACATAATCTATGTGTCTTGGAAGGCAGGTGCCCAGCGCTGCTCACCGCCTTGTCTCTGCTGACTCAGGTTTTGTTTACATGACGATCGTAGTTGCCCCGGTTGCTATGGCCGTGAGTGATGTGTACAAGGTTGCGCTTCTTTCCAGACTACTCTCATCTCCGCCTGCTTTTCTCTTATCAAGCTGATCTTCCGGTGATTTTCTCTCCTCCACCGAGTTCTGAGATTGTTAGCTTTTGCTTTGTTCTTCCAGCGTTTCCTCCCTTGTGTTGATATGCCTTGATGACCTTGCTTCTGTTTTTACTTTGAACGCATTCTACACATACCCTACATACATTCCATCCATACTGTCAATACCTTTCTGAAACATATTGACAATCTCTTCACGAAGAGATCATGCCGTCCCCAGAAAAGGACGCCCCCCGTGACCGGGAATTGGTCCGGCATTCAATGACATACTCGGAGCCTAAAGTTCCAATGTAGGTTTCGCAACTAACGCCTACTGATTCTTCTTTCGACGAACTTCATGGGTGATTTCAAGCAAATGCTAAAACGCGGTTTACGCAGGTGGGACAGTTCGGATCCCGAGCGTGCGCCTCCGCCGCTCCCAATGAATCCTCGTTCGATGAGCCCAATGAGCCCTGCTACGAGGTCCAATGTTTCTCCAAACATTCAAGCAGTGGCCGCAAAATTTACAGAGAGGCCCAGCGAACATGCACCCAGCTCTTACACAACAAATCCCATGCCACTCAAGTCTTCCTCTCCAGAGAGGTCGTTGGTCAAAGGCCAGCACCACAAGCGCATGCAGTCACTACAGCCCGAAGATACCCGACAAGATGCGCGTACCGACTTTATGAACTACCTTGAGAACAAATCCCCAGAGCGCCCTCTTCGTGCAACGATCATTGAGGCGGCCAAGCCGCGCGATCCCACCAAGTCTATCAGTTCGCCAGCGCTCCGTCAAGACGCGGACCGGGAAGTGAACTACTCTCTATCGAGTCGGTACTTATCGAAGCCCATATTGGGAGAGAGTACTCCACCGTCAGCTACAATGTTAGCCCTGCAAAACATGCAACTACCTTTGGAACCCGACCCTCCATCACCTTCCAAACCGCCAAAATTGATCGCTGCGCCTTTGGAGCCGCAACCTCATCCAACGAAGAATACGAGCATGGATTCCCTGTCGAACCAAATCCACAGCCTCACGGACATTGCAAGTAGCTTGCAGCGTGAGATGATGAATCTGAGCCGACGCAGCAAAGACAATGCCACCGACCTGGTTAGCCTCAAGGCGGCAACCAACGCACGCGACGAAGACATCCGCAAGAGTCTTAAGGATCTGTCTTCTCATCTTACAAACAAGTACCTGGACGCTGATGCTACAAGGTTTGATTTCAGCAATCTTTTCAAGGGTGGTGATGGGCCTAACCCCAAGGATCCGGATAGTCCCGTTTCGAAGAGGAGTTACTCCGTGCCTCGCATGCCCAGCCCCAATCCATTCGCGTTTGATCGGGACTCTTGCGTCTCACCTGCCCCGATTTCCGACGGTTCCGCAGCCCTGGCTTTGCTCGAAAAGGTATTGCGCGAGATGGCAACTAAGGAAGGTGAGGAAAGGCTCTTGGAGCTCGTTGAAGAAATCAAGTCTCGACCCGCAACTACTGCTTCGGACAAAGATGCCGATAACAAGGTCACTGTCATGCTCGAGGAGATCCTCAACCTCGTCAAAGAGGACCCGTCAAGCAAAGCCCTCGTCCGGTCTTACGGAGTGGCCGCCAATCTCAATAATATAGAATCTGGAAATGCCTCCCCGGAGCAGATACGATCTAAGTCAATGGGATCCGTGGATCCCGAAACTGTACGTGCACTAGATCTTTCCAACTCTGACAAAGCTGGTTCTACGCCCAATTCGGATGAACTTTTGGCGATTCTTAGAAGTGTTAAGAATAGCGTCGTCGAGGGAGGTGGAATGACCAACGGTGTGAAGTCGTTGGTACGCGAACTACGAGGCGAGGTTCTTGGCATGGGTCGAGAACTCGGTCGGCGATTAGACGAGATCGAGACTTCCCGTGCCAATGACGAGCCCGAGGACCAGCCCAGAGCTGCCGGCCCAGAAGAAATTTCCGCCATCGTCAATCGCAGCCTCGACGACCTCAAGGAGCAGCTGGCTGCGACTATCAACGAGAGTCGGCAGCAGTCGTCCAACTTGTCCGAGTTTCGGTCAACTATGAACAGCGCCGCAATCTACTCTGTTGTGAAAAAGGCCCTCGATGAGTTTGAATTTCCTCAATCTCAAGCCGAGTCTCGGGGTGCTGAAATGGACAGAGAAGATATTCTCGAAACTGTCCGTGAAGCCTGGGAGACCTACAAGCCCGAAATCGAGTTCAACAACTTCGGCTTGGAACGAGACGAAATCCTCACATGTCTTGAAGAAGGTCTCAAGTCTTACCAGCCTCAGCATGAACAGGCAGTCACCTATGACCAGGTTCTCGCAGCTGTCGAGGACGGTATGCAGAAGTTCATTCCTCCACAAATCGAGCATTCGCCAAGCATATCTCGGGACGAGATAATCTTGACCATCCGTGAATGCTTGGAGAAGCAGCCCGAACCTGCCTCCAGATCCCTTGATGAGGAGCATCTCGGCCGTCTTCACTCAATGCGCGATGAGATTCTCGAGGCAGTTTCTAAGGCCATGACTAGTCATGCCGAAGGTTCAAGGTCTCTAGACGAGGAACATGTCAATCACCTCTATTCGATCCGTGATGAAATTCTCGATGCGGTTACTGGGACGATGGCAGCCAACAACATGCAGCCCAAGTCTTTGGACGAGGATCACGTCAATCGCCTCTACTCTGTTCGCGATGAGATCATCGAAGCCGTCACTGGGGCTGTGGCGAGTCATGCCGCAGGCTCCAAATCTGTGGATGAAGACCATGCCACTCGTCTGACTTCTCTCCGCGACGAAATCCTCCAAGCTGTTGCTGGAGCAATGGTTACGAACAATACAGGCTCAAAGGAGTCGGACGAAGATCATGTCCAACACTTGTACTCCATTCGTGATGAGATTTTGGAAGCGATTACTGGAACGATGGCAGCGAACAATACGCATCCTAAGTCTTTCGATGAGGACCATGTCAATCACCTCTACTCTATCCGCGATGAGATCATTGAAGCTGTCACTGGGGCAATGGCAAACCACAGCACCTCCAGGTCTACGGATGAAGACAATGTCGGTCAACTGAATTCTATCCGGGACGAGATCCTCGGCGCATTGGCCGGCTCTATGACACAAAGCACACTGAGCAAGGATTCATACGACTCTGGTCTTGGCCGTGATGAGATTGTCAGTGCTGTCTCCGATGGCCTCGAAGCCCATTTCACTGCAGCCAAAGAGATGGATGAGCCACGCATTTCCCGTCATGATGTTATGAATGCTGTCAACGAAGCCTTTGATGCTCAACAATCAGCTGTTACTGTTGCTCACACGAGCATCTCTCGTGATGAAATCTTGAATGCCATTGCCGAGGGCATTGAAAATTCAATGAATGCCCAGCAATCAGCTCTCAGTACCACCGTTCAGCAGACCGTCTCTCGCGATGAGATTTTCAGCGCTATTGTGGATGCCATCGAGCATTCGCAGTCTTCACTTAGCAATAATGGGGAGCCTAGTATTTCTCGAGACGAAATCCTCGGTGCTATTTTGGAGGGGATGCGGCACTCATCAAACCACCAAGAACCCAATATCTCCAGAGACGAGATCTTAAACGCCATTGCTGATGGCATTGAGAACTCAAATAACTCTTCTTCACGTGCTCTCACATCGCCTGAGCAACAGGTTGACAATCAGCAGTCCACACTCTCCCGGGAGGAAATTTTCAATGCAATTGTCGAGGGCATTGAGCACTCTCATGCTTCGCTTGTAAATGGCCAGCCTAGTGTTTCTAAGGAAGATATCATGAGTGCTATCGCTGAGGGCATTGAAGCCTCAACGAGCAGCCAACAGTCAGCGCTCAGCACCAACGTCCAAGAGCCGTCCATCTCACGCGAGGAGATTTTGACTGCCATTGCAGAAGGAATTCAAAATGGCAGCTCTGTCACCCGGGAGATTGAGCTGAACCAGGACGACCTCATGGAGGCAATCACCTCCGGTCTCAACGTGGCCATCAGTACCGCGAATACCAATGTTGGTGGGGAGATGACGGAACGCCTCCACACTTTATTCGAAGGTATGAAGGAGGAATTTAAGCAGTACTCGGCCGCCGGTGGAAGAGACACTGAGCAGGTCCTCGACGCAATCAAGGATGGCCTTGATGTCGTTCGCAAGGAGATTGAAACTTACGTGGTCACCGCCGCCGACCTTTCCGGCAAGGACGAAGTAATTGACACGGTGAAAGAAGGTTTCCGACTCCTTCAAGCCGATATGGAGAAGACCATTACGGATACATCTCTTTTGAATGCGTCGCGAGGCATTCCTGATACACCTGAGCTTCTAGATGCCATGGAAAAGGAGTTCGAGCACTTACGGGGGACAATCACAACTCTTCTTCTCCGCAATAATGCCACCGAAGACAAGGACGAGATCTTGGATGCTATTCGAGAGGTTGCTGATCGCCACAAGGGTAACTCTGGCGATGATGTTGTCAAGACCATTAAGCAGGAATTCGAGAGTCTTCGTGAGCGCCTGGAGCTGAGTGTGGTTCGTGCCGAGCCTGGTGCTGAGAAAGACGAAATCATATCCGCACTCCGTGAACATTTCGACAGCCTACGTGAGGAGACTTTGCTGAAAGATGGTAACGACAATGATATGGTCAACACCATCAAGCAGGAATTCGAGACTCTACGTGAGCGTATGGAAATGAGCGTGGTCCATTCGGAGCCTGGGGCCGAAAGGGAC